GGGGGAGGGAGGGGGGGAGGAGAGAGAGAGGGGGGGGGGGGAAGGGAGGGGTGAGAGGCTAGGCACAGAGCAAAGATGAGAAGTGAGGGTGGGTTGGATGGAGTGGGGGCTGGTGACAGTTCTTGAAGAGGGGGCCACGGGGAGATGGAGCGAAGGACTAAGGGTGGGAAGACCGGGAATGATGAAAAGGGTTTTGCAGAGCAAAGATCACGGGTTGAGAAAGTGAGGACTGGTATTGAGAAGTGAGCATTGGGGAGAGGATAGTGTGGCCGAGGGAAGGCTTGAGGGAGGGTGATGCGAGAAGGGGTCTACAGAGGATGCGAGGCCCCGCGTGGGTGGGACCGTTGAGCAGGGCCATGGAACCTTGCCGGTAAAACCTAGGTAGGGGTGGCAGGAATAGGTCCCTGAGGTCTGAAGGAACCCCACGCAGGAGAGGCCTGGGATCCCCGGCACACGGTTGCCCCCTACTGGGCTTCGCTCGAAGAGCGTGGCCAGCCAAGCAGGGAGATGGGAGGGAGCCCGACCCGCGGAAAACCAGGATTTGGCGGCAAGAAATAGGGAGGGGAGGGTCAGGCCGCAAACTAAAATGGGTTAGGGGAGATGAGTGACAGGACACCCAGAACCTACGAAAAGAAACCCTGGTGTTGGAGGGTGAAGAGTGAGGGGATGGGGGCGACAGTGCACGCGGGAAGGGTTTCTGATCTCACCTGAGTGTGGAGTTCGATTCACTGGCAGCAGGAAAGACGGGGATCAGAGAAGAGTTACCAGTGGCGCCCAGCTTCCCAGGCCTGAGCCCTATCCCCCTCCCACACCTGTTCATGCGGAGCGGAGACTGCGTTGAGGGTTAGGGTGCCTGGGGATAAGAGCAAGGCGGGGCTGGGGGTCAGGACTTGGTGTTTTCTTTATTATTCAAAGGACAACAGAATTTGTGCCAGCAATTAAAAAGGGAGTCGGGGTATAGCTTATTTCTGCCGAGTTTGAATATTATAAAATATCTGTAGTCTCTTAAAAAAAAAAACCTACAAATACAATTGGTTTGAAATGGTTGCTGTTTAAATACCTTAATTTAGTAAATGCTTCAAAAGTTGACTAGCATATGAACACATTCTCAAAAGTTCAATGCAAGGGCTTAGTCAAAACTGATGAACCCTGAAGCTTGATTTTCATTCCAGGAGAGAAGAGGACATACAAGCGCTTCAGTGCCCAGAAAAGGGAGATGTTTGCAAAAACAGACAAAGAGTAGGGCAAAGAGGTGGCAAACACAAAAGCAATTATTCCCTCAAGGAATGACCAAGGTTGTAAAAGGTAGAGACAAGGCCCAGTCTTCCAATCTGCCCTTGAGTTGTCCTTATTGTCTGATCACTCTCCCCCCTCCCTCATTTTTGCCTCTTCCATATGTTCCCAATCCCAGATCTCACGGATTGTTTTTCTAAATACAATGTATGGTTTAATCCTGAATATTTACAGCAATTCCATTATAGAATGAATAGCCAAGGATCAATTCTAGAAAAGTGACACATGGTATGTTCTAAGTCTACAGAAAGGGAATGGTATTTCCAGGAGGAAAACCTCAGGCATTATTAAACTTTGAGAAGGTGAGGAAGGGTGACATTAATGAAAAAAAAAAGAGAGAGAGAGAAAACAAAAGGCCCAAGATTTGAAAGCAAGAAGAACACACTAAAGGAAAATGGAATGGAGGGAAAGCCCAGCAAAGTGAGCACAAAGGATTGTGGGGCCAAGTCTGAGGCAAGTGGATGGTGGAAAGAGTTGGGCTTTCACCTCTGTCTTTCCGAAGTCCTCCCCAACGTCCTTCATAACACCAGTCCTTTCCCTCTCTCCATTCCCCACTCCCATTCTAGTGCAAGCAATCTCATCAGCTGCAGGCAGGCAGCTGTTCCCCTCACCCTGGCAGTGGGGCTTGGGGGTGCTCCACTGGCCCTGACTACAGATGCTCCGGGAGCTGCCCACCAGATGGAAGTCGGGGTCACATCGGAAATCCACCCGGGCTCCATCCAGAGCAGGGAGATCCCCACCCGTCAGGAAAACCTTCCCATTTTCCAGGGTCAAATAAGACTTGGAGCAGATTCGGACTGTAGAGAGACAGGAAAATAAGGAGAAAGGCAGGTTGTAGAGGTTTGCCCCTTGGGAGTACAGGGAACTCAGGTTTGGGTCTGGGGTCACAAGCATCCTGATGCACAGGAAACCAAGTATGCAATGGCTGTTCCTCTCTACCCCTCTCTCCCTTTCTCTCCAGCCCCAGTACCCATCCACATTCCTATCAGGGAAAAAAGAAAAAGAACAAAACCCCCAGCAATTCTATTGTAGGAACCCAAGATGGAGCTATAAACACACAAAATAGGAACTACTCACAGTAAAGTGGATAGTTCTCTGCCTTTGAAATGTGAAGATGTACGTAAATGTGGATGCATGATCAGGCTTGCTTTTTCTTATTATGGCTGGTCTATACTACTATACTACTAAACAGGCTTATATGGTCATTGAGTCGGAGACAAAAGTATCAAAATATGTAATGAAATCGTTTTGTAACTTTAAAAAAATATCCTCACTAATGATCCTCAAAGAACTCGGATGAAAAATCAAAGTTATTTCATCCAATGATCAGTGCCCTAATGAAGAGGATAAAAGTGATGTGCTGGCTGCTCGCTTGCTTCCTCCCACTAACAGCTCACAGTAACGCCCCTCCTCCTACATAGTACTCATTCATTAACCGCGTTTGTGAATTTGTTTCCATTGCATTTAAATTGCTGACTTGCAAAATAACTATGGCTCATTTGTAACTTAAGAAAGGAATGGCCTGAAAGAGGGAGTGGGGGTGGGGGCGGGGGCGCTTCCCAGGCTACTCACCACAGCGGCTGGGTGTGTCCATATCGGTCCAGGAGCCGTTGGCCAGGCACTTGCGCACCTTGGGCCCCACCACCTCGCGCTCCCCCCGGCACACATATTCAATCTCATAGTCCACAGGCAGGAAGTTGATGGCCTTCACCTGGTCGCGAGTCAGGCCGCGGTACCTGATGCCCCCTTCCCAGGGCGGGTGTATGATCTGGCAACCTGAGAGGGAGTGGGGAGGCACAGGGGAACCGTGGGAGCGGGAAGGCAGCGCCGCAGTGGAAGGAGGAAGAGCAGGGCGTGGTCACTGGTAGGGCCCGGGATGGGGACAAAAACGGTGGGTGGGGTGGGGGAGGACCGAAAGGTAGGCGTGGGGACGGTCAAGAAACCCAAGCTGCAGAGTCATGGGTTAGAGCAAAAACTGATGCGATAGTCCACCGGTAGAGAAGTGTAATGGAGAAAAACAGCTAAGAAATCGTAAGGGCTATAGTGTTCGGTGGTTAAAAAATGAGGGAATAGGGCTAAAGGAGGATTTCGGAGCTGAATGAGAAGAGGACCAACCACACAAGCCCATCTGGGCAACGAAGTGGACCGCGGAAGGGGGGCGCTGTAGTAATGTGGGGCCCGGGAAGGGAGGTGGAGCTGAGAAGATAATTCGGGGTCACGGAAAAGCGGTGTAGTATAGCAACGTGAGGCAGAGGAAATGGGTGCTGGTGGTGATGCGGGGTGACAGAAAGGAGGTCAGGAGTAGTGAAGTGGCAGCCGGGCGGTGGGGGTGGGGTTCTGACGCGGGAGTGATGAGGAAAGGAGACGTGCAGGGGAAGGGGCTGCAGGGTGGAAGAGGTCCGGGGCGCCGGAGGAGGGTGCACCTTCCGAGGTGGCGTTGGGGGTCTGCGCCCCGCCTGCGCCCAGGGGGCGGAGGAAGAGAGGCACCAGCAGCAGCAGCAGCATCTGAGGAAAAGGCGGCCGTGAGAGC